GTTCATCTTTCTCGTCGGTTTTTGTCCTGTTCATGACATGTGATGATAACCTTGAAGAGCTCATGCCTAGCCCATACATGTAAAGAGGGACACTTGTTGTTTTGCTGAAGTCAGCAATTACCCCATTGTTCTTGGATTTTTTGCTCAAGGAAGCTTTAACCCTGACACCTGTGGTCCGGAAATCACAGCGGGAATTGGGTCGGATGGAAGAATTTCGAGCTCCTCTGACCAGGGACGTTCCACAATCAATTCATATCCGGTTCAACTTCCCACAGTGACCAGAACGCTGTTTCAAGAAAGTTTTAGAGGATTAGTCTTGGTTGAGTGCAACACTATACAGTACTGTACTGTGTTGGGTGTTCTGGAGTCACATCAAGGAGAAACTTGTTGAAATCCCTCATGCTTGGTACCATTTACACATCTCAAGGTATACGACTTGCACGATGAAACGTTTAAAAATTAGTCCCCATGATTTGAACTGGCTCTTGTTGTCAAAGGAAAGAAGTGGCCCATGTTGCATTGAGTGAAAGGGAGCGGTTTTGTGGACTCTTCAAATATTTGTAAAATAGAGTCATTCAAGTTAATTTCCGAGTCATGTGCGGTACGAACCAAGCAGGTCATCATTCTGAGACTCAAATATTGTAGGTGTGTAATGATTAGGAGGAGAATGGCTGAGATGCTGTCAGCAGTACAAAAATTACCAGATGAAATTAGCATTTTCGTAGCATTATTGTATTGCATCACATTTTGGAGGGACAACTTGGTTCTTCTGGAATGACTAAAGAATTCTGCCAAGTTTTTCATTTGATGGGCAACACATTACAGTATGCTAACACAGTACAGCACTGTACAATATTGGAAATGCCTTGCAGGATTTTCAAGGGTTTTCCAGGGCAAACAAAGCTGAACAGGTGTGAACCAGGAAAAAAAAAAAAAAAACACCCACCCACAGGTTTGGTTAGCAAATGAATGGAAGCTGGCAGAGTGGAATCAGCAACAATAATCTTGCATACGCGCGAGATGTCCTGCAATGGCATGAGATCAAGGTCTGATGAAGCCCAGGTGTTTCGGTCAAGGAGCCACAAAGATGGAAGAGAAGTAGAGAGAACAGGGCTGCAGATGTGGAAGTTGTGTTCTTGAGTCATGATCATGGACCCTTCCATGGATAGGAAAGTGATTATCAAGATGGATTGAACATTTGACCAGGAATGATAGGACCGGTAAAACCTGAGTACGTAAAAAACTTCGAAGAGAAAATTGAGTGTAAATAGCTCTTAGTCAAGACATGGTCTTTGGCTGGGTCAATAATTTGGGTAGATGACCAGGAATACAGTACTTTCCAATTGAGGACAGCAATACAATATGAAGGGTATGGCGGGAATGCAAAGCCACGCTGTGATATTTTTGACGCGAGCACCAATAACTTGCCAGTTGATCAGAGCTGTACGCCCGAGCATGTGCATTCAGGTGTTGAGTTAACCCAGTCAGTTCCAGGGATCACAGTTTCCAACTGCTGTACGACATGCGTCTTTACGAAAGCACAGTACTTGTTGGCCGTGAGATGACATGGTGTTGCACTAAGGATGTCAAGGCAATGTAGCCCGTTTGTTATTCATCACTGAAAAAGTCAAGTTCACTTGTCGGAGTTGACATAGTAAGACTATTCCTGCTCGCTAGTCTGTACAGCTTGTCGACGTTAGATGAAACACAAACTAAAGAGACACATGGTTCACAATGTAAGAAGGCACTTGTACTTCAGGTCACAATTCCTGGTCTCAAACACATACGCTCGTGTGAAGGAGATCTGTACCAAACAGGGGTTCATGATAGAATGAGGCTGGGATAGGCCTGTTAGTCAACGGTCACAATGGCTGACACAATCTTGCGCATTGTTGAGTCAGCTGCTCTGTGATTGGGTAATTCATACAAAGGGAGTAATGCTCAAATACGCTTGCTACGCCGTTTGCGCGGGACAGTATGGCGGCCTATGGCCGTTACTACATCACCGACGTCTCCAGAGACGAGAAAGAAGGGTAGAGTACAGTACAGTAACTGCACTCCTATCAACATTTGGGATTCAACCAAATTCGGCTCTTGCGCCACATTTCTCCTTGTACAAAGCCAAATGTTGGGTCTTCTGCTTCTGGGAAATCATTCTGCGCCAGAGTACTGCACTGTACTGTATGTACCTGCTCATGTCCACCACAGTAAACTGTGTGTCTCTCCAGCATGGGGTTCATGCTGAAACGTGGCGGAAGAGCCAAGTACTGTGGGTGGGATCCCGGTTGGGAATACGAATCGCCCTTCGGAAAGCCCCGAAGATGTTTTTTTACTAGCTCTAGTAGTGGAAGTTCCATAGATTTAAAATGTTGTACTGTATCAATTATGAGCACGACGAATTTCCAACCTTCGCTTGCCCAACAGAGGTGTTCGCCATCAATTCCGAAATGACTTTTCCTGGGTTGATCGCCTTATTAGAGGTTTTGGTGAGCCGCTAGCCCCTGTGTTATAGGTTGGGTTTGGCAACCGCTCTCTGACCAACTCTCGCAAATTAGGACTGTATTGCAGTACGTACTGTACAGTACTGTGTATTTCGATGAAGATGATTACGGAGTGAATCGTGCAATTCCGACAGATGTCAGATTCACGTTCCTCATTTTCTTCTCTGTCTCTTTTGCCATTTGCGTTGATATGTACCGTTGATTTTGTTTCTATTTTTGCCTTCGCCATGGCTGTAAATGCACTGTTCCAGTGCTAACTTTTTCTTGGACTGTGTGAAACTCGGCGAGATATGCGTGACTAGCCTGTGCTGTACTGTACTGTGCTGTGCTGTGCTGTGCTGTGTATGATGAGCATCATGTGCAAAATTGTGGATGTCGGAAAGAAAGAGGCGGGTGCTCTCCGGCTCTGATCATCCGGACGCCTTTGTTTGTTCGTCGTCTGGTTCGCCTTGGGTCTGTTACGGGATTAATTCCTTGCCATATCTGCGGGAAACTGTACAGAACTCTACATCCACAACACTGGTCGGTACTGTGTTCAATCCCCACTCATTTTCCACCTATTGAATTGCAAAGCGAATGAGAGAGAGAGAGAGGCCATTTGCAGCGCGGACTCTTTTGGGGCAAGCAAGCACTGTAATGTAATTTCTGTAATGATATACAGTATTACTTGGCCGGGGATGAACGGGCTTGTTGGGTTGTGACTCTCCTTGCTCAAGGGATTGTACTTGGTCTAGGAACTCCCAATAGTTCACCGCGTGTATACTCCATGTGTTGATTTCCCCCTCCTCTGTAGTACTGTAGTCTAGTGATAGTCGTCCCAAGTTCAAGGGACAAACGTATGCGCGAGGTTGAACTTGTTGAATTCACGCGCTTCCTTGTGCGACGCCTGTCGGGATCGTCCGATCAACGGTGATGGGCCGCTGCTCGCCGTCTGAATCACTCCGATGCCAGTACTGTACTGTGCTCTACTCCATTCTACTGTATTTTACTCAGCCTTTGGTTGCCTATCCATGCATGAGTGTCGATACGCATTCAAAACTCCGGGGGATTTGACGGTGCACTGCATTATTCGTTTGACTTTGAATGAGTGTTATGTCGGATCCACTCAAATACCGATGACGATCAATCAATCGGTTTCATTTCATTACGTGCTCACTCGTGTTCTGTAAATTCCACATTTTTAGCATTTCCAATTCCGATTTTCGAATGTTTTCTCCATGTCCTGAATAAAGGAAGAGGAGAGGGGGAGATGGACTTTCTTTGACCGTAGAGAAAGAAGGAAAGACCAATTTTCCGATTACGAGATTGGTTTCTGAATAACTCGTACCTTTTTCGAGCCAGTCCGTTAACGTTTCATTCATTTTCGGATTGCGTTGGTACAGCACATCATTGCTTACTTATTTACTTTTACGCACACAATTCTACCATCGTGATTGGATTTGTTCATTTATCTTGATCATTGCCGAAAGCGGAGAGGGTGATGAAGATGGAGAGAGATGGTGGTGTGTGTGTGTGTGTGAGAGTTTATTTTGATTTTTCACTCCTGACAATGAATTGATTTCCTCCATGACGGAGCGATGGAAATGGCGGGACTCCCTACTCCGGTTTATTTCATCTTTATCTCTTGAAATATTTTGTTGTTGCATGATGCATCTTGCCTGGTTCGTAATTGGGCCGTGCATGGGTAATCCGAGCGGTGCACAAGACCTTTGTACAGTATTTTTCCCTAGCCAAGATCGGTCCGTTCATTGCTCATCGGCGTTGACAGTGATGTGTACTGTATAATACAGTGTGTCGTGCTTTTCCGCCAAGAAACGCTTGTTTCATTCCACCGGGAGTGTTCCCTGTTTTATTCTTCCTTTCTGGGAATTTCAAAAGCTACGATACGGGGTACACGGGCGGCGAACGTTCGTGGTGGGGAAATTCATTCAACAATACTGTACTGTACCGTAGTCGGTTGTGCTGGGAGGGGACGTGCTTGCTAGAAGGCTTCGTACCGGACCGGTATAATGACGTGGACTTATTCACCCGCTCAACTTACTGTCTGTCTGATCCCGTCGAGTTCAACCGTGGAATTTTATGTTCAGGTGAAAGCGCAATAAGCATGAATCGGTATCTTTCCGTGATTTAAGCCGCTTTGATTCAACCGGATGAGGTTGATTGTGTCTGTCTGCGTGAGATACCGTTTTCATGTGTTGGGCGGGATATGGAATAGGAGGGACATGGTGCAAAATGATTTTGAAAGCCTGCTGGATGCTTCTGTGTAGCGCTCTAGGCATTGAATAGGTTTCCAGCGGAAGCGAAAATCCTGATTGCTTTTGAGGAAACAGACTAGTACAGAATCATTGACCGAGTACGGTATACAGCACAAATGAGTCCTTTTTTAATAGGGACGATTTCAAAATTGGTTGGGATTGCTGTACAATACTGTACAATGCTGGACACGAGAGTCGTCGTATGGCGATGTTACATAAGCAAGGCGGAGGGATGTTATTGGGAATGGCGACTGGGACTCGTGTTGAGGACGGTGGCTGGTTTCTTGTTTTTGCAGGCTGGATGAAGACGATGGTATGAAGTACGGACGTGTGGAAGAAGATGGTATGCAGGATAAAGAACGTTTTGCCAGGTAGGGAAAGAAGCCACATGGACGAATGAAAAGACTGGCCAGGTCAGGTCATGTCATGTCCGCCGCACAAGTCATGAAAAAAATAAAAGAAAGAACTAGCTGACTTTCATGACTTGTCGGTTTGTTTGCTTGACCAACTGACCAGCTGATGTGTTTCCTCGATCCTTGCGCTGCTCAGTGCTGCAACCCCGTCCACACTCTCTTACTCTTTCCTTCTTCCATGAAAACATACACGTGCATATCAACACACTGCCCCATGCTTCCTCACTCTGTCTCTCTCTCTCTCGTTTTTTTTTTTTTTTTTTAATATTTCCTCTCCCCATCACCTTTTGCTCGTCATCATCGTTGATCCATTTGCTGTGAGTGACGATGGAGTACTGACCTCTACTCTGCCTATGTAGTCAGTTGTTTTTCAACTCTACAACGACAAACCAACCTCACTCCTGTCTGATGAAGTACTGTACAGTACAATGATTGCAGGATAACTGTGAATGGAAAATAGTGTTCATTTGTGGCTTCACATACTTCTTTCTGTGTAAAATCATCACAAATAGCAACCGTTTCTGGTTTCAGTGTTCACCGTATTCTTTGTGTGAGGTTAATTTCCTTGTACAGTTGGAACAACGCCCATTCAGCCTCCCTCAGCCATTGTTTGCGCATGTTTCATTGCGAAATAAGATGTTCATGGACATAATTTGCATGACTTGGTTTTTTTTGTGTCATTAGTTTGCTTGCTGTGATTGGCTTGCTATTTTATTCATCTTGTTAGTGTGTTGCATGGGGAACCCAAATTCACTGTGGCACCCCGCCCCCCCCCCTCCCTTGGTTCTTTGTTCTTTGTGCTGCTCGTTCGTTCCTAAGGAAGCATGTGCCTAATTTTGCATCGGAATTGTGGGTGAGGAATGAATCATTTGATTTTCCGGAAAAGCATGTGATTGCATGTGGGAAGAACAGCATTTCCGCGGTAGACCTGAAAGTTGATTCGTTCGTTTGATGTGAAGTTTGTTGTGGCATTTTCAGAGAGAACCACTGCGAGATTGAGCGACGACGGCGGAACAAGATGACCGCGTACATCACGGAACTATCAGACATGGTGCCGACTTGCTCGGCGCTGGCCAGGAAGCCTGACAAACTTACAATACTCCGGATGGCTGTTGCTCATATGAAGGCCTTGCGAGGTGAGTGCTGTCAGGTTTTTATTATCAAACTGCAGTACAGTTTCCCGTTTTTCCTTGCCTTGACTTTCCTACCAACCAACCAACCAACCAACCCCCTGGACCGGACTCCCAGACTCTGGCAGTTTGGCAATCCCGTCGATTCACTTCCATTTCTCCCTCTGTTTGGCTTCGGAGTTTTGGCTTTTTTTTCAATAAAAAAAGTAATCTTAGACTGGCGGATTCAATGTAAAAGGAAAAAGTGTAAGGAATTCAATTAATATCCAACACAATTATACTGCGCCACCGTTCTTTGCGGCTGGCATCTTGTGGCTGGTGTTGCAAAGAGGACTGTGTTGCAGAAGCAAGCCTGACCAACATTGTGAATGTTTACAGGTTTATAAGTATTTCAGGAGTGCTTGCGAATTTTGAAGCCTGCACCGAAGTAAAACTATTCTGTCACATATGTAAAATCAATGCACTGGCTTGCAGGCGTTGGGTTTCGGGATGCTAATATTTCTTCCCCATGCATTGTGCTTGGGAAACCTCGGACCTTTTCAATTTGTCATGTATGGTAAAATGAACAATGAATGCATGAAAATTCGAACAAAAAACCTTGAGCAGTTGATGAAGTGAATAAACGGGTTTTGGGGCGGAAATCGTTCAAATGAATGGAGAAAGATATTTTTATAAAAAATGAAGGCATTTGAAAAATATAAGTATCGTGGAGTGAAACTAGTTCTATTTTTGTAAGATTACTTTTATTTCCCCATCGCTGTTTTTTATTTTTTTTTTTTTTTTTTTTTTTTTTTTATTTCTTTTTTTTCCCCATCGCTTTTTTTTTTTTTTTTTTTTTTTTTTTTCAAACTGTGGATGCCTTCATGGCCTTGACAAGAAGATCGGCAATTTTCTACACACTCCTATTTTACCCGTGTGCTGAAAATGTTTTCTCTGAAAGGGAATAAGAAGTTCCGTGGACCGGCGCCGGTCCGCGGACCAGGGGTGGGGGGACACTGCAGTTCACCAGTTGTGCATTCATCTCCAGAGGAGATAGCATGTCCCATTTACCATGTGATTCCCTGGTTGGTAGGGAAGGTGAATTAAAGAAAGACGGGGAAGAGTAAAAGAGTGGGCCGTGTGTGAATGAGAGGGGAATGGAGATGAAGCAGCCAGCTGGTTTGCGGCGGCGGGCGATGAACTCCAGTTTTCCCATGATCTGCTCGTCGCGCGTAAGACGTATAGATAGATGGTTTGATGGGCCCTGGACCGGGCGAAATTTTCCAGAAAAAGACCGACCCGGGAAAAGTGGATGATCGGCGTGAGAAGACGCAAGGTAAGGATCCAACTCAGTCGGGCGTGTGTTTCTCTCTCTCTTCTTTCTCTTTCTTTTCAGTACAGTATACATTGCTGTTGCGTCTCTTTTCACTACCTCCCTGGATACTGTGCTGTGCTACAGTATTTTTTGTTCCTTATGGAGCATCGCCTCGAGTCGAATCCAAGGAAGCGTCCTGGAAAGGCGAAGGTTCGCGGGCAGTCGCGTGACTCGCGTTGCATCCCCGTTACCAAAATTTTCCTTGGCTTCTTGACCCCCGCAATTGAGGGCGTAGCGTGTACTGGACAGGTGTTATGACTTGGAAGAAAAGACACAACGAACCATTTCTTGCTGTAATTATGCCGCATTCCTCCTTGTTCCCGGGAACTCAAATGCCGCCTTGCCATCCGTCGAATTACTTGAATATAAACATACTGTATTTTCGAACTCTGGAATGCCGCTTTCCCGTGCAACCGATTTTCCGTCTCAAATTCAGTTCGCATGAAAAATAAAATAACCCGAGCCACTGCACGAAACAAAACGGGAATCCCACGAGACGGGAGGAGGAGGAGGCCAAAAAGAAAAAAAGAAGGTGGGAATCGCGACCGCGGCACGAAACGGACGTTAACCCACATGGAAGCTACTGTACAGTACTGTACTGTAATTGCAATTTGGCGACAAGCGCGACGAGAACATGCAATATTCCTGCATCATTCAAAACTGGCTTCGACCATTTTCACCTCTCAAAACTGGTCGAGGCGTGCTGATTTGTCCTTGCCTCATCCTTGAATCACTTCGTGCATCGCTGGTGCAGTATTTCGCAGGAAATCCCTCAAGCCGACGACCGTTCCGAAACAGCCACGTTTTCCTTCTCTCCGCTCCCAGGCGTTTACCCGTTGACGGAAAAGAATGCAGGTCTGAGACGCCTTTGATGAAACAAGTTGGAAACTCAGACATTCGACCTGAAGCGTGGTGTAATTAATCCCATGTAATTGGTCTTTCTCTACATGATTCAAGTCTTCCTCGAAAAGTCATAACAACGCTCCTTACCATCCTCATTCCAGGTCGTTTCCCCTCCAATGAGTGGAGATCCAGATTTGTTGAAAATATAGACAGACAGACTCTCAGAAGGAGAGAGAAAAAAAAAGCTTGCTCACTCTTGGTTTTCATGTATCACATGTCTGAAAGGCTGACGAGGGCGGGAGGAAAGAATACAGCGAGGTACAGTCTGAGGAAAGGAAGAATCGGAACAGAGCTAAGATGGGAAAAATAAAAAGAAGATTCAGTGATGTACTGTACTGATGATGATGATGATGTCTCTCCCTGTCTGTCTGTCTCTCTCGCTCCCTCACTCACTCACTCACTCACTCACTCACTCACTCACTCACTCACGAAGCCAAGTGAGTCCAGCAACCTCTGACCGCGCCGGAGCAGCGAGAATGTCAACAATGTGGGCCGAGCTAATTCCTCGCCGCGGTGATGGATCGGCACAAATTTAATCTTTGCGGGGGTCAAGAAGGCAAGGAACATCGTTAACGGGCATGCAACGCCCGTCTCGTGACTCTGCCCACTACCCTTCGCCTTCCCAGGACGCTTCGTGGATTTGACTTGGGGCGATGCTCGAACTTCTAAAACAAACTAAGAAAGAGCACAGCACAGCACCCATCCAACCACAATTGCAAGCCGAATAATGCGGAAAACTGCATGGTCTGGTCGCGCTTGTCCCCAACTTTCATCGATTTGGGTTAACGTTTGTTTCGTGCCGCGGTCGCGATTCCCAGCAATTTATTTATTAATTTTTTTTTGGATCTCATCTTTTCGTGGTGTGAAATTCCCGTTTTGTTTCGTGCAGTGGCTCGGGTACCGAGCGAATGCGATTCGCTCTTGGCGGACGATTCTCGCTGGACCACGACACCGTGTGGTGTGTCTTGTGTATTCTCACGGGCATGTATCGAGGACGGTTTCAATGGTCTCGAACTTTTCTGGCATCGTACGGCTGAGGACCCGGCCTGCTGGGGATCCAAGCGTGGGGTAAGATTGCGACATGAGATGCTGGGGTCGGGGAATGCAGTGCAGTACTGTACTGCACTGCGTTTTTCTGGGATGGGGTGAGGAAGCGCAAAGAGTGGCGATGCTGGTCGTCTATCTTCATTAGATTCCGTATATGCGACTGTGACTCACGATGACGGGAAGGCTTGCCGCAGGAAAGAAGCAAGGCGGCCAGCCATATCCGGCACTTGCTGCAATTGAGGCGACTCGTTGACGCGTTCCCTAATGTTTCTTCGTCGATTGGAATCCTCGAGTGCTGGATATGACCTACTGTACTTGTATACGTTTCCGGTGAAGGACTGAGCAGGGAGGATGAGAAAGAATCGCCGAAACTGCCTCATTTCCTGTGTTGCTGGAACCTGGAAGTGAAGGCGTTTCCATATGGGGTCAGGACGGAGAACCAGAAAAATATGCGTTTCGTGACCTCGGGTGGTGCCACTTCTCAGTCACACACACACACACACATCTATCCATCCATCCATCCATCCATCTATCTATCTATCTGTCTGTCGGTGTGCGGCGGCATTCCTTTCGTTCCGCGCATGCCTGTCAGCACGAGTTCTTCGACTGCGATCTACAGCAGTGTTCCCCAACCTTTTTGGCTCCGCGAACCGGTGAAGTATGGCTAAATATTTTCGCGGACCGGCGGACAATTTCACAAACATGTAACAGACCTGAGAGTGTTTTTTTTCACACTGATGAGTCTAGAATTCCCTTCCGCACATTCTACATAACTAAAGAGGGTTCTTGCTGACTTATCACTGTTCGAAACCGAACTCCACACTTTTGAAATGAACTTGAGTGAACTCTCTGCGTCTCTTTCTTGTGCGCGCGCGCACACACACACAAAACACACTCTCTCTCCTCTCTTAATTTATTTTTATTTTTTACTTATATACCATCTCTCTATCTCTTACTATATAGTTTTCAGGAAAATAATGGCAGAATAGCGACAGAGCAAGTTAATTTTTGCGTGTGCAAGACGGACAAGCTAGGACGACGTACGAATCCGTGGACTTAGAGGTTGTTCCGTGTCACTGTTTCCCCACGCGTGTCGCGCACACGAAAGTTGGGGACCACCGTCTTGTTGGCATGGCAACAACTTTGTTTTTTCCCTGAACCAGTGTATGAAGACTAATTTCATTTCGCACGACTTTTCGCTCTTTAGTACAGTACTGTAAGCATCCGACCTAGGTGAATTCGGGTGACAAGCATCCGACCTACGTGAATTCAACCTATCCCCCAAAGCCCTTCTTAATGAGCTTACGCCAAGCTTTTGACCTATCCTTTGTGTGGACCAAAGAAAACAGCTGCGAAGTTAAATAACAATTTTATTTCAAACAAATTCATAAAATAACAAAATGAAAACTAAAAATTGATACAGTCATAACAAACAATTCGAGGTACGGTTCAGTGCAGTAAGAACAGAAAAAAACGGGAAAATGTTAATGATTATCACCAGCAGCTGCTTTTTGCAGCTTTTCGATCTTTCTTCATAACTACGGAGTCCGGTTTACTGTAGGTAATGCTCTCAATATAAGAACGGGGGTTGCGCAAATGAAATTTGCTCAACAGCTGACAAAGTCTATTTGACCTTTCAATATACTTGGGATTCTTACCGGGAAGTGGACCACCTAACTCCCTGTCAACAAGTTTTGATGTCATTTTCAACCAAATCCCATACACACTTCTAACAAAATGCCAAAAATTAGGATGAGGCAATTCAAAATAATTTTTCAGAGCTGCATGCCAGCTTTCAACATGGTTATTTGTTTGAACTTCAACATTGAACCAATCCCAGTACATATGAGGGAACAACCTAACTCCCTGTCAACAAGTTTTGATGTCATTTTCAACCAAATCCCATACACACTTCTAACAAAATGCCAAAAATTAGGATGAGGCATTTCAAAATAATTTTTCAGAGCTGCATGCCAGCTTTCACCATGGTTACTTGTTCAAACTTCAACATTGAACCAATCCCAGTACATATGAGGGAACGATTTTGTGGGAAGAATATAAAAATGGAAGAATATAAAAACGCTTTCAAAATCACAAACAAGCGTAACTTTAATTGGGATTGGGGGCATAAACCTGGCTGCCGTAGCAGTTTGAATTAACCTAAACATAGTCTGGTAACACTTGTAAATCCACTGACGTCATTGTGGTTCATATATTGTCTTGAAGCACCACATCACAAGATTCTTGAAATTTTGAAAATATTTGAATTTTTGTGCAATAATGGATTATTTCAATGTTGAACTTCGAACCAATGGCCATGGTTTTCTTACTGGTGGCTTCATTTATCTGAAGCAACACATGCTGCATTCCAATGGTGACATTGCTGTACATTGTGGAAATTGCTTGACAACTGGCTGTAGAGCAAAGGGTCACTTGCAAGAAGGGAAGTTGATCAGCCAGAAATGGAAGAATATAAAATGATATTGCGGGTTAAGTCATTTGTACATGATTTCAAAAATATCAATCAACTTGTTTTGCAAATTTGTGAAAATGTTTGTCAAGAAGTAAGTCATAAACCCGCTTTGCAACATGTTGCACGTTATTATTTCATTTTTTAATTTATAGATTATTGATGACTGCGGACTCACTGGCGTCAAGAGAGATGAATTTCTTTTTGTTAGAAATGTGTATGGGATTTGGTTGCAATCAACATCAAAAATTGTTGACAGGGAGTTAAGTGGTCCACTTCCCCGTAAGAATCCCAAGTATATTGAAAAGTTGA